GCTTTTGGAGAGACCAATACAGGAAGTAGATAACTGATCTACTTGAAACATGGAGTCCCTGGGTGATGCCCACAATGTGCCCAGCTTCCGAGTGCACCCGGTGGCACCGCAAATGAAAGGCCTGCAATTGACTCCTGAAAAACCAGCCACTGAGTCCCCGACAGAGCACAGTTCTCCTCTGACACACACGGGGTTGCCATGACCTGGAATCTACTTGACTGCAAATATTTTATTGTTTGCTTGTTTGTGTTTTCTTTATTGAACTCTGTTACTGCAGGACATAGTAATACATTCATTACCCTACTGGTTTTCACAAAATCTTAGATAGCAAAAGTACAAATGAATACCATAACAATCGTAGTGCTATCAACTGCAGGCACCACCGTTGGCTCTTCTACAGGGAGGAAACCGCACTGGAGAGCTATGGGGTTTGCCGGAGGCACACATCTGCTGAGGATGGAGCCAGTATTTTAATGTGTTGTCCTGACCCCTGTAGCTGTCCGTGTGGCAATGACAAGGGAATACCACCTAACTTTGATGGGTAGTTAAAAAAAACAAAATCCCAGCAGTTCTCAACCTTTTTTGGGGGATGTCGAACAACCCTTTCACGGGGGTCACCCAATTCATAACAGTAGCAAAATTACAGTTAGGAAGTAGCAATGAAAATAATTTTGTGGCTCGGGGGGTCACCAAAACCCGAGGAACTGTAGGAAAGGGTCGCGGCATTAGGAAGGTTGAGAACCACTGCTGTAGACCGTTCCCCGTGTGTTACTTCTCGTCTGCCCTTTGTCTCAGGTACTGGCTACATTGACAACGTGACCCTGGTTTCAGCCCGCCCTGTCTCCGGAGCTCCAGCACCTTGGGTTGAAAACTGCCTGTGTCCCGTTGGGTACAAGGGCCAGTTCTGCCAGGATTGTGCTTCTGGATACAAAAGAGATTCAGCGAGGCTGGGACCTTTTGGAGCCTGTATTCCATGCAACTGCCAAGGAGGAGGAGCCTGCGATCCAGACACAGGTGGGTGGAAATGTTGCCTGGATCAGATGGCCTGGGGGTGCGGGGGGGGGCAGGTGATGGGGAGTCTCCAGGAGAAAGAGAACCCAAACTCATTTCAGAGATGGAAACGGATTAAGGGAAGCAGGGCTGGAGTGGGGACGATGGGCACAGGACATTGGTGCACTAGGCCTTTTCAATGTGGGAATGGCTCGAGGGTGTGAGACAGGTGCTGGGTTTCAGGAAATGGTTGTCTTGGTTCAGTGCTGGGGGCAGGAGGGCTGGTGTCAGGTTGCAGGAATTGTCTGGGGAGATCAAAGGCCTCAGTGAATGTGTGGACAGGTGGGGGTAGCCCTGAAGTCGGGCAGTGTGAAGTTAGGATGGAAAAGGAAGTGTGTGTGCACTTAGTAGGGGAGGGCGAGGCTGGGGCTCAGGGTCATCATGCCCTTGATACCAGAGCAACGGGGCATACCGTGTGATCTTTGCAAAGGGCTTCAGACAGGCAGGCTTTTCAGCTCGTGAGTCCTGACCCTACACAGCCTCCGTACTAAAGGGAACACTGTGTGGGACCCCGCTCATTGCGCCGCCTCTCCATTCTTCCTCTGCTTCCCAGGAGATTGCTACTCGGGGGATGAGAATCCTGACGTCCAGTGTGCCGACTGCCCCATTGGCTTCTACAATGACCCTCATGACCCCCGCAGCTGTAAGCCCTGCCCTTGTCGCAACGGGTTCAGCTGCTCGGTGATGCCCGAGACGGAGGAGGTGGTGTGCAATAACTGTCCCCTCGGCATCACCGGTAAGGCCAAGGGCCCGCTCCTTTCCATCCTGACACCCTGCTTTTATGTCAGGAGCTTTGCCAAGGAGGTTATCATTTTAAACACACACACCCACACAGTGCGGCAGAGTTGACTTGTGTCAGAGTAGACCCGTTCTCCACTGCGAATCCTACTCACGGATGTATCAGAAGCACCCGATCACCGCGGCTTTCTCCTTAGGTGCCTCTGGGCAGACTTGAACCTGCAGACTTTTGACTGGCAACCCAAGCACTTTGACCATTGGCACCACCCCCAAGACTGCAGGAAATTAGAGTTCCTTAAGGAGCTCCGGGGGTGGTGTGGGTCATGCCCTGAGCTGCTCTGCCACAGGGTCTGTAGTTTGAGCCCATCAGAAGGGCCTCTGGAGAAAGGAGGCTGGCTATGCCAGTGATGACGACGGTGTATTGTCCCAGGGGGCGGGTCTACCCTGTCCTCTCGTGCTGACAGCAGTTGTGGAGACAGATGAGAGAAAGCTGTTTCAGAGGGTTATAATGAACAGAGGAAGACGAGATTTCAGACCACATGCATGGGGACTCCAGCGATGCACCTGGAGTGGGGGGAGGGGATCCTGACTTCCCAGCTGTTTTAGCCAGTAACTTGCTACTCTGAACCTCTGGGTCTCATCTTGCTAGGTGGGTAACCTAGACTTGGCCCTTGGTTCCTTCCCAGGTGCCCGCTGTGAACTCTGTGCGGATGGATACTTTGGGGACCCCTTTGGGGAACATGGCCCAGTGAGGCCCTGTCAGCCCTGCCAGTGCAATGGCAATGTGGACCCCAGTGCCTCTGGGAACTGTGACCGGCTGACAGGCAGGTGTCTGAAGTGCATCCACAACACCACCGGCTTCTACTGTGACCAGTGCAAAGCCGGATACTTTGGGGATCCTTTGGCCACCAATCCAGTGGACAAATGTCGAGGTAGGACTGTCTTCCAGGTGTGCGTTTGTGTGTGTGCGCGCCTGTGTACATAAGCTTGCTCACCTGCAGACAACCATCGTTGACAGGGTTTTGCTGCTTCGGGTTTTCTGACAGCCTGCTTAGAAGGCTCCGCCCAGCAGCAGGTCCCTGGAAGGCAGAGAAGGAGGTGCTGGAATGGGCTCAGCTGGT